CCCTCCGGAACATTGTTGCAATGCAGTGGAAGAAAATACATTGTACAAGACAGATTATTGAAATACTTGCTGAGACAACTGCACCTCATTAATTACAACACCCACAGCACACTCAACAGTATCCTCCATCCACCCACACACTCTTGCAATCTCTGCAACACACTTCATTCTGTCTCCTACTCTGCAATTCTTAAAAGTCTCATTCACCCACAACTCTCCTCTTATGACACATATACAAACTATTGCACATTGGCATCCACATTCTTCAAACTTCTTGCAAAAATCTCAGAAACTCACTCTACTCTGTGTTGCAGGAGGAGGTTGCACACAACACAAGGCAACAGGTTGCCATAGGAGAAAGCAGAATAAGTCTGCCAACTTTGCACACCCCCCACCTCCAAACCACCACTCCCAAGGCCAGAAAGGACTATCCTAGCCACTAGATGATATGATATTTGCTGAAAAGGTCTGCAAGCCACTCCTTTTCCCTCTGATCTCCATTACAGAAGCACAAGTTAACACTTCCCCAATCTTTCATTATCAGTTGCTGAGAATGTCAATACCACTTAGCATAAGAACGCAGAATTCCAGAAAATGCATTATTCATTCATCAGATTCTAGCATGTGTAAACTCAGATACTGTTAAAATGGTCAAGCAGCCTAAATCACTGGAATAAGGTTCCAATCTCTTTGGTGATGTGGTTTTAAATCCTGTCAATGCCAGTTGTACTTCATAAATAGGGCTGTTGTGGCACAGTGGTAATGTCCCTGCCTCTTAGCCACGAGGGCTAGTTTCAAGTCCCATCTGCTTCAGTGGAATGTCATAATGCATCCAAACTAGTTGATTAAAATATTCTAAACACACATTACTGACCCCAGCTGGACATTACAGGTTAGCTTAGAGGAGGCATCATCACTGGACATTACTAGAGATAAGGATGAATAAGAAGCCACAAGTATCAGCTCAGTGAAATCAAGCTTGCTGCAGAGAACTCAGGCACTGTTCCTGAAGGCCCAGGTTACAGAAGAAAATTTTGTAGACGTATACCTGGAAATGTATAGGGCAGTGGACCGCCTGCTAGTGTTTCTGCCCAGGGTTGAGGAATATACAGTATTGGCTCAAACTTCCATGGAGCAAATAAAAGACCATTCTGCTCTATATGGACCTGGTGATCAACTCTATCAATAATGCAGAACTGAATGAAATGGATAATCTCAAGACAGACCTACCAAATTCCATCACAGCTGCCACCGTTGGCTTTGAAGCTCAGTTACAGATATCCTAGCATTTGTTTGAGTGGTGGGAAAGTAGGTGGAATGGATAGTCAATGATGAAGATGGCTTTGAATTGTCACATCACTAGAAACCTTGCAGTCCTCAGTTACTGAGGCAGAACCTGACCTTAGCTACATGGGAGAGGCAATGCTATCCATTCTCTGGATGACAGCTTGCTTATCCCGCTGCTGGGCACTCTGCATTGCTGCTACCATTCAGCCAATTGGTTTGGAGTGTTGCAGCTCAACCTAAAATGCTGTAGCCTGCAGCAAATCCTGCTTGGCCAAGAGTTATTCCACATCATGGTTCAAGACCATCTGACTACCCTCAGCATGTTTAGACTGTTCCACAATAAGCTGATGTCTGAACGTTTTAGCAGATATGTGCTCTCCTGGTTGCTGCCTCATCTTCCTCCAGCTTATTCCTGCAGCTTGCTCTCATTTTGCCTCCTTACTGTTCCTTACAACCTTCTAACTATGTCTAGATTACTTATAAAGTAAGGAGCAACAATAAGAGTAACAAAAGCATTCTCAGTGCAGACAAAGTGAACTTTCACGAGCAATCCAAGCGAAAATATCGATAAGTCAATCATTGGCTAGAACTAATAAGGAAGAAAAGCTCCAAACATGCAGGAACATGGATGTCTCTAACAAAGGCAAATAATGCAGAAGCTGGGAATCTGAAATAAATACACAAAATACACCAGCTCATAACATACAGCAAGTATGGCAGTGTCCATGTAGAGAAAATCAAAGTTAGCATTTCAGTCTGATCATTTGTAAGGTTGACTCTAAGCACTCTAGCAACACAGTCAGGTGTATCAATTTTCTAGAGATAATTCCTAATAGCACTGACCCCTGAGTGAGCAGGCCCTGCTCATATCATTTCTCTACAGGTTAACCAATCAACCTATTTAGAGATGTTACTAAACACCCAAGGACCAAATGGGACTTGAATCCAGGCCTCCTAGTCTAGGGGTGGGGACACTATCACTCCACCACAAGACGGCCCCTTGTTAAAATACTTAATAGCGCTGCAAATGTCCTTGCATAACATGACCTGCAGCAGTTCAAGAATGCAGCTCACCACCACCTTTTCAAGGGTAATTTTGAGTTGGACAATAAATAATGGCCTTGCTAGAGATGTTCTCATCCCATGGACAGCTATTAAAAAAAGTCATTCTGTATGATTCATTAAATAGCAATCATGATCACTACAATTATATTGTATTACAGAAAGCCTAAACAAGTCTTTGGGCATCGAGAATGAAAAATCGATCTTGCAAAAAACATGAGACCTTAGTGTGTATATATTATAGCAGATTTTAGAACGCTGTTATATTGCTACTGTCATTGTGAGTACTGATGCTAAAAAGGTGGATAGTGCACTAGGGACTTGGTAAACCACTTAGGGAATGATAAACAGGCATTGCACTATTGAATTTATACGGCATCTGTTCAAACGATGCAACTAGTTGAAACATTTTGGAATTTTTTTTACTATTTTAAAGACAATATATAAATGCAAATTATCATTGTTGCCATTCTATCTGCCTCCTCCCCAGTTTGTTTTTTTTATTCTCTCTACTTTGTGTTTCTATCACTTATTCTCACCAGTTACTATTTCTATCTCCAGCCCTCATGTTTCTATCTCTCTCTCCAACTGGTTTGTGTTTCCTTACCAAAAACAGAAAATGCTAAGAATACAAGGTAGGTCTGATAGTATCTGTGGGGAGAGGACCAGTTAACATTGCTGGTCAAATTGCTGGACCTTCCTCTCCAACAGCACAAAGGACTGCAGCAGTTCAAGAAGGCAGCAACTCCTCAAGGCAACTAAGGACAAGCAATAAATGCTGGTTTTGCCAGCGTTATCCAAATCCAAAGGTGTGAAAGCAGCAGTGCTAAAGATATTATTGCAGGAGATCCCTGACAAAAATGACAGGGGTGAGCCCTACACCTGGTGTACCAATGCTTCAAATTTTAAATTTTGTTTCTTGTGCTTTTGCTGTTTAATTCCTTCATCCTACAAATATCACCGTGTATTCCACCATGCGTGCAATCTTGAAGGAAATTTGAACTCTTTCTAACCTGAACAACCCACTCCGCCAACTCCTGTATCTCACCTTTGGCAGCCTGCCTTCAGTCAACTAGGCCTCAGGATTCCTAAATTCCTGTCCCAAATCGTTTGCTGTTCCACTTCATCATTCTTTAAGGCTTATTTTAAATTCTATTTCTTTTGGTCTCCTTTATTGGTCTCCTTCATTGTCAATTTTTGTCTGATTGCATTACTATAAAATACTTTGAATATATTTTGCTGCATTAAAGACAAGCTACAAATGTAAACAGTTTTGTTTAAATTCAGCAGCACATGCCAAACCAATTTCGTCTTTCGTTTCACATTCAAGTGAACCTATATTCAAGGTTATGAGTATCACCCCCTGAATGTGCCTATAGCAGTGCCCACAAAGGATTTCTATCTGTTACTAACAAGTCCACAAGGAGGCCTGATACAGCTTGTCAATAATAAGTGGTGAAGAACCTGGAGGTGTCTTGGAGCCCACAGTCTTGTCAATACCAGATGCACCATCAGTCAGACTGATTTCAGAGTTTAATGTGTGAGGAAAGGCAAGTTGTACTAATTACTCAATAAGCACAAATAATGAGACACCCGTTAAAATTCAAGCTGCGACTAGAAGCTGTATGCTAAAAGAAGTTGCTGGCAGCCGTTGAGATCATTATGTGACATCATGTCCTGTTTTGTCACCATGGAGACAGCAATCAGTTCACGAAACATTTCATCAGTAAGACGGCAAACACCAGCTTTTGAAATTTTCTGTAAAGTTCATACAAGCAAAAAAATGATCTTACTGATTTTAGTGATGTCATCTTTTTAATGCAATGCAGCAATCATCATCAAACTAATGTCACTTAATAGTACATCAACAATTTACAGATTATTGCTACTTACTTTCATTTTATAAAGGGCTGTCAGAAAAGTGCAGCTTCTCAAAATCCCCTGGATATTTAAGAGCAATTCAATATAACAGGTTTGAATTTGTTAATAGCAGGATTTCTCATTAAAAACAAAAATCTCATGCTGACAAGACTTAATTAGAGCGCTTAAATATTCTTGCAAATCAGCTTAAAAGATGAAAAGCAGTAACAGTACATGTTTTCATAATTTCTCAATGATATGCAAACACATTTGCATAAGTATAATGCCTTATAACCAAAGTAAGTCATTTTCTGCAGTGCAGCAACACTTAGGTTGGGGAACAGCATTATCGTAACATTACTATCCTTTAGATTTTGGTGACAGACATAAGACAATGGTTTGCGCTAGACTGGTTAGGTCCGTTTTAAGGGTCATCTGGTGTGATCACTAGTGCAATTGACACTTAAATGCTTGCAAGAAAGTATTACATCCACTACATATCTTATCATTCCTGCTCACCACTCACTATAACTAGAGTTGTGAGGATTTTTCAAACCGCAAACCTATTTACAATGCATGTTAGACATTATAAGACTTAAGGTGGACAGAACTGAAGCAGTCAAAATGCTGCATTAAATTTTGGTTACTTTTCAATGATGTGCAAATTCCTCAAAAATACATACATGAACCTAAACCTGTATCAGGGTACATTTGAAGAATATGCATGTATACAGAATGTAATACAAGTTATTCAACTCTCAAACTCTTTCAATCACAGTCTATTCACTTACGTATAGTGAAACTAAATCCATCAATGTTGAAAGTAGCACTCCGACATTTTTTGAACCCTTGTTTTCTACAATTTGTCTCAGTCATATTCAGATTTCTGTAATCCAGGTACAATTGGGTCAGAAGTTCTGTGTCTGGAGCTTGCAATTAGCCACAGTTGAAATTCTGCTTCTCACGCCTCACACTCAACACTCATGCCTGATCTCACATACCTCCTATTACTGGAACACAGACACCAAACAGCATCTCCACCCCCGATATACTCAGTGAAATGCTGGCATACTATAGGCAGTCTGATTAATCCACCCTATCAACAACCTCAATCACACAGTAACAGTTGCTTTAACTTACCATCATTTGTGAGAGAAATGACAGGCTAAAAGATGTTTTGTGGTATTAATTACAAAAGGTACATTGTTCTTATTAATTAAAATTGTGCTACTCTTCAGGGTTTACAGCTTACTCCTGTCAGCTTCCTCATCAATATCTTTTTCTCCTTTCACATTTATTGAATGTAGAAAAAAGAATTTTGTTAATACTTCCAGTAATACATTAATGTCTTCATTCCACAACTGAATTATATTTGGGAGAAAATTAAAAGGCTGATTTGAAATTATATACATGTCAGAATGAAGCACAACAAGTCCTTAGCCTTGATAATAATTCAAGTCTTTGCAACTAAATCAATTAAACAGATTTTCCTAATAATGCTGGATTCTCTAAAATTCACTTTACTGTTCACACTTACTTCTGAGTAAAATTAAGTATAGGATGCTTATGATCCTTAACAGATGCTTTTAAGAGCAAATGCCAGGCATAACAGTTTATGATTTCTTAATCCCTCTGGTCTGATAAATACAGTACAGCAGAATTCTGCAAAACAAATGTTCATTTGGCAATCGTTTGAACAATTCAATCCAATATCAATGGACACCACAGTGCCACCACGAGTGATCCTTTATCATTCCCTGTTATAAATTTCAGAGTCTCCATTTACCAATCTCCATTTAGAAGATGCAATAGGAAGAATATCAAACCTGAACATTTTCTGTGGGTGAATCTCACAATTGTTGAATGTTAATGACATAAAAGTGGACTATTCACCCCATCATATCTGTGTTAACCCTATGAAGGAGCAATTCACCTCCAGTCAATTATTCATATTTACCCCATACCCTTCCACTATTTACTTTTTTAATTGTAGCAAAAGATGTTTGATATATATAATTTTTTAAGAGTTTGGATTTTAAACTAGTGACATATAGTTGCTCATCAATTTGTGTTCAAGGGTGTTTAATTATTACTAGGTTAGTTTTTCCAGGACCATGATTTTAAGCTAGTATGTATCACAGAAAGCGTCTTGAAGGGTTAATGGAATTTGTTTTTATAATTGGTTCTACAACAAGTGAATGAAAATATCAAAATACATTAGCTTGCTTTTGATTTTAGAATTATCAAGGAATGATTTTAGCCCAGAAAACCTACAGGTTGGGAAAGCTTCTTTTCAGTGCAAAGATGACCTGACTGCAATCAAATGCAAGTACATTTTCTCCAGAAAAGGGGATAGTTTCGAGCAGCTAAGGGAATTGATACTGCAGTGTGAGGGTTATAATTGTGAAAATGTCCAGACCAGAAGTGGTTGGTTAGCACTCTGCAGAATATGCTGATCTGTCTTTCTAGCTTCTTCCTACCAAAATTTCGTGCTTCGCTGCATTAAACTTGTTCTCTCTATCCTATCTGCATCATCCTCATGAGTCACAATTCCTCCAAACTTTGTGTCAACAAGTTTGAAAGTTATGCCCGTACATCAAGGTCTAAGTCATTACAGAGAAGGGGGGGCATGGGGAGGCAATGGCCCAATGGTATTATCGCTGGACTATTAATCCAGAGACCCAGATTGTGTTCTGGGGACCCAGGTTCAAATCCCACCATGGCAGATGGTGGAATTTGAATTCAATAAAATATCTGGAATTAAGAATCTAATGATGACCATGAATCCATTGTTGATTGTCGGGAAAACCCATCTGGTTCACTAATATCCTTTCAGGAAGGAAACTGCCATCCTTACCTGGTCTGGCCTACACGTGACTCCAGACCCACAGCAATGTGGTTGACTCTCAACTGCCCTCTGGGGAATAAATGCTGCCTAGCCAGTGACACCCTCATCCCATGAATGAATAAAGATAAAAAAAGAGAAGTACAGGGGCTCCAAAACTAATCCCTGGGGAAGTCCAACATAAGCCTTCCTGCAGTCTTGTAAAACAATTATTCACAAACATTCATAGCCAACTCCACTGGCCAGTAAACTTTAACATCATTCTGCACTCATTTACACTCACTTGTGATGATTTCGTTCCAAAGTAATCTTTCAATCATCGCCTGGCATCTAATCATGATCAATTGAAATCATTGAACTGAAACAAAATCATACAGTGCCTAAACAACAACAGTTAATTTACCATCAGAGTGATTAGAGGAATTCAACGAACATGGAATAAGGCTGACAGGGGATCAAATTGCTCAGCAAAAGGCATTCCACTGACATGTAAAGTGATCAAGGAGCTGTTGTAGGACACTCTTAAGCTAACAATCACAAAGTTTCAGGCATCAGATTTTTCAAAACATTATGCATGTTGTAGGTAATTATTTATGATAATGATGGGTTAATGCACAAACCTCTACTGTAATTATCATAATGGGGCTGCAAGGATCTGGAGGAACAGTGTATTAAATAAATTTAGGCAAATTTTCCAAATAAAGGCAATAATAAATTCACAAAATGACATGAATTTACATAGTGCTTTTAATGCAAGTAAAGTATGTTATCAGACAAAATTTGGCAAAAGACTTTATGAGATTTCTGAAATGCTCTCAAGCATTTTTAAAAGCATTGCATCTGAATGCCAACACTACTGATAATGCATGTTATCACATTGGATTATTTTCCATTATGTATTAAAATTCTGCAATGTAACTTGGACACACAGGTTTAATTTTATCTGGGAGAAAATATTATTGCTATAACAATTTGAGCCTTAAAGGATGTCTGGTCTACTTCATGATGAGTGAGAGTTCTCAGACAGGCACTTGCAAAATTGCACCTGACTTGCACTGCCGAACACACAGTTCTTCATATGTCTGAGACAACAAGGTGCAGGGCTGGATGAACACAGCAGGCCAAGCAGCATCATAGGAGCAGAAAGGCTGACGTTTCAGGCCTAGACCCTAGCATCAAATATCCAAAACCAAAGCCGAGTTTACAAAAGCAGATTCTGATTTAACAGACATATGTTAAGAAGCTATTTGTATTTCCTTCATAAATTGCATCTTATGCAGCACACCCCATACCCTCACTGCCCTGTCCCACTCCACCCATAATGCTACAGTGTTCTTCCCCAGCACCCCCAGACAAGCTTACAGCTCACAGGTTGCAGGGACGACTGGAAATGGAAGAGATGTCAAAGGCTGGCTGTGCTGTAGTTTTCCCGCTGGGATTGACCAAGGCAGCAGACGAGACATCACCATTTTTTGTTGGGCGGGGTTGGGGGAAGTGGAGAGCTGAACCACCAGTAACTGCAGGTGCTCCAGAGTTCAGCAGTGAATAGGCCCAACTCTGGGTTGGGGGTTGGCAGCATCAGTCTGTATGGGTCACAAAGTCAGTTTAGGTCAGATACATACCCCCCTCCTTGACCTGACACAACCTGACCATCTCCTCTCCCACCTATCTGCCCTACCCTTCCCACCAACCAATCCCCACTACCCCCTACCTGCATTCACCTATCAACACCCCACCTCCCTTTCCCCAGCCCCACCCATCCTCCCTCCCACCTCCTTGACCAACACAACCTGTCCATCTTCTCTCCCACCTATCCGCCCCACCCATGCCACGGCCCAATCCCCATCACTCCCTACCTGCAACCACCTATCACCATCCCACCTGCATTTCCCCAGCGCCATCCCTCCTCCCTCTATTTATTTCCCAGCTCCCTTCCCCCTCCCAAGTTTTGAAGGAAGGTCCCGATCCAAAACGTCAACTTTCCTGCTCCTCTGATGCTACCTGGCCTGCTGTGTTCCTCCAGCACCACACTGTGTTGTCTCTGACTCCAGCACCTGGAGTTCTTGCTATCTTCGATGCTGTACATGTCCATTTTCAGAGGCTCAGAAATGGAGGAGAGGGGCCTGGAGCATCCTGAGATTTGTGTCCTCCTAACTCCCAGGAGGGGAAGGAGGAATGGACTACAAAATCGTGATTTTGAGCTAGGCAGTTGGCCTGTGGATGTCTTCTTTCAAAGATTTTGATTCACAATATGCTTTGCATTTTTTCCAATCTCACCCCTTGGGGTGTTAAATCTGCCAGAGTCCTAGTTGGTTTTTGGGCAGTAGCACAGCCTGAACATTGGCCAGGACACCATTGTGGGCTATGGTGACTTTCCCCATCAGCTTATTGAGTTCACCTTCAGTGCTGATTCCAAGGGCAGGTGCCAGGTGATGGCATAAGAGAATAGACCACTCAACATCATGAAACAGAAGAACACTGTTGAGCAGGGAGGGGGACACTGGCTGGCAAGAGGTGGGACAGAACTAATCCACAAACTTTTCTGTTTCAAAAGAAAATTGTGTTCTTTGGAGTCCAGCCCCACATTCTTCCAATGAACAGTGAAATTGGGGAACCAAGAAGCAACTTCAGGATCCCCTAACGTTCAGTGGAATTCCCATTAATAATCCTCACATCACTTTGAAATTGGAGAGCATGTAGCTGAATGATAATATAACTTAGTGGATGTAAGGATATGACTCATGACTTTCCAACAAATCTCTGCTGCGTGATGACATCCTCAGTGCCATTTCTTATGTGAATTGTATTTTCCGGCACAAACCTCCTTAATTTCTCGAGGTATAAAACATAAGCTCAGAACTCTGTTAAATAATTTAAGAATGCAAGCTCTGTTACAGACGAATTCTTTCAAATGAAGCCAGTCTAATTCATGTAATCAAGCTTATTATATTTACCAACCTGTCAATCTTTACTACCATGGTAACTGAGCTTTTTCTGGCACTGAATGGGTCATATGGGAGCTGACGAGATG